CAGCTTTGTCCTCCAACTGTCTGAGGTTTCATCTCCCATAGCAACAGGACCACCCATAGGCACAGGGCTCTGCAACTTACCACCCAGGTGAAGAAGTCATTCATCTAGATCAGGCATCCACAAACTATCCTAAATGCAGCCCACCTAGGACATTTATCTGGCCTGCCAGGTGTTTTTGCCACTGCTGCCTGTCCTGCTTAGCAGCCGACTCGTCCTGGGGCCCACAGTCCGGCCCTCCAACAGACTGAGGGACAGTGAACTGGCCTCCTGTTTTAAAAGTTTAAGGACCCCTGATCTAGATGACCATCTACACTCACCAAGTTGTAGAATTATCACACAAGGTGGCCTATGTGGCACAGCATCCAGCCTACTCCAAGAGCCCAGTTAATAATTACAATAGCAATTACTATCAGTGATTAAGGCCATGGGTAGTAATAGCAATTTCTTGCTCATCTCCGTGGCTCCTGAAGTCGGAACAAATCACAGAGGCCCAATAATGTCTTAGGCCTTGAGCCTTTCCTTCCAACTTATTTTCATAGAAATTCCAGGCAACTTCTGAACCCACTCTGAAACCTGGGGACAAAAGAGTGCTGGTGGGTAGAGAACTTGAGGAGGCAGATAATCCAAAAATAATTGATCTCAGGTTGTGGAAAGCATTTTGTTTACGGCAGCAGGCTGTCCTTCCCAATTATCTTCTGCTTAGGCTAATGTTACAGCCTGCCCTCCCTAGCAGACTGGGTCGCCACATGTGCTCACCAGTCCTGCAGGAGACAGGGTCAGGCTGAGACTGGCTTCCTCTTGCTAAGAGGTAAAGTGAGGCACCAGGTGGCCTGAATCAAAGCCACAAGAGTATACTAGGCTTTAGGAGCACTGTGGGATGCTGATCACATGCTCTGTCCAGGCCCTCCTGTTCTGTATTTTCCTTCTTTCTTTTTGTACTGTATCGTTCATTAGTTGGGGTGCTCACCCTGGTCTACTATTTCCAGGAATGCTGTCTGGAGCAAGAATCTCATCTGCAGAGGATTTGACCAAGACTTATGTCATCAGATCGTGAAAATTCCTAAATTCTTCACAAGCCCAGTCTGACCTCAGAATGAATTCACATATGAGCCCATGGCAGAGCAGGATCTTTGTCATCTTTGTCCACATGAGAAAACTAGCTTCAAAGAAGTAAAGGCCCTTGCTTGAGGTCCCATGGCCTGTGCCCAACAAACACTCCATGAATACCTGGCCAGGCTCTTCCACCTAAGAGGTGGGGAATCTCTCAATCCCCTTCAGGCTTTCTGGGAGACCCACTCTCAATCTCACCTGGTGAGCAGGTGAGGCTGGCATCCTTGGCAACTCTCCTGTCCCCTGGAGATCAAAGGTCATGTTAGCACCTCTGGCTTTCCAGGTCTCTAGGAAGGAAGCCCTCTGGGGGCAGGAAGCTGGTTGTGCTGACTCATAGACCAAGGGAGAATAGTCCAGGAAACTTGTCACTCTGTTACCATGGCATCGGGCTGCCTGGCACCCCTTCTTCTTCAAAGCTTATGCGCAGGCCAAGTGTCTGTGGTGAGGGTGGGGCACGGTCAGACCTGCCCTGCTGACCCCCACCTCATCCCATCTCTGTCACAGATTTCCAGTTTCATGGCAAAGGCAGTTACCCTCTTATAACCATTGCCCCAGAACGGAGGCTGTCATTAGGTTCAGCCTTTCCCTGCCTGCAGAACTTTAGACCTTCCACCAGCAGATTCAGGAAGGTCCCCAAGAGACAGACTGGGTGATTCAAGGCCCACCCACTGCCACTGGGTGCCTCAGCCTCTTGACTTCCCCACACTGCTTTTAGCAAGAGGAAGAAGGAGGTGCTGTTTGACTATGAGGCCTGCCTTTTTTGGGAGAAAGAAAGGGCTTAAAAAGGCAGGAAAGTGTCACCCATCTGGATCCTCACCTTTTTTTTTTCTTGAGACCAGAGTCTCAATCTGTTGTCCTGGGTTGAGCACCCTGGCATGATAGCTCACAGCAACCTCCAACTTGGGCTCAAATGATCCTTTTGCCTTAGCTTTTCTATTTTTAGTAGAGGCAGGGTTTCACTTTTTGCTCAGGCTAGTCTCAAACTCATGAACTCAAGCAATCCACTTGCCTTGGCCTTCCAGAGTGCTATGATTACAGGCGTGAGCCACTGCACCTGGTCTTTTTTTTTTTTTCTTTTGAGCAGTCTCATTCTGTAATCTAGGCTAGAGTGCCACGGCCTCAGCCTAGCTCACAGCAACCTCAAACTCCTAGGCTCAAGCTATCCTCCTCCCTCAGTCTCATGAGTAACTAAGACTATAGGCACCTACCACATTAATCACCACCTAATCTTTCTATTTTTGGTAGAGATGAGGTCTTGCTCTTGCTCAGGCTGGTCCCTTGCTCCTAAACTCAAGACATCTTCCAGCTGGATACAGTGGCTCATATCTGTAATCTTAGTACTCTGGGAGGGCTAGGTGGGTGGACTGCTTGAGCTCAGGAAGTTCAAGACCAGCCTGAGCAACAGTAAGACACCATCTCTATTAAAAATGAAAACTGAGGAAAGAGGATCTCTTGAGCCCAAGAGTTTGAGGTTGCTATGAGCTATGAAGCCATGGCACTCTACCAAGAGCAACAAAGTGAGACTCTGTCTCAAAAAACAAAACAAAACAAGAGATCCTCCCTCTTTGGCATCCTAGAGTGCTAGGATCATAGTCTTCTTTTTTTTTTTTTGGCTGGGGCTAGGGTTGAACCCACCACTTCCGGCATATGGGGGTGGCGCCCGTGGCTCAAAGGAGTAAGGAGCCATAGTCTTGAGCATCAGCTGGATTCTCACCTCTTAAAAGAGGGAAGGGGCTTAGGGCAGTCATGAATTCATGATTACAAGAAATGGGGGGAAAAAAAGAAATGGGGGAATGGGGACAGGGGCAGAGGCAGGAAGACTGCTTGGACCCTGGAGTTCAAGGTTGCAGTGGAGTTATGAGGAGGCCTTTGCACTCTAGCTTGGGTGAGAGCCAGATCCTGCCTAAAAAAAAAGAAAGAAAAAAAAGGGGGGGAATGACCCCCATCTTAAACCTCAGAAATACAGGGGAAAGCTGACAACTGGTGACTCCCTCTCCCCAAGTTGCAAAACTTTCCTTCACTTAAAAGAGACTTTTTTGCTCTATTTCACATTTTCTCGGCCTGGTCCTCACATATCCATAGGTGGACATTGATAAGAACTCCATACACCATAGATGGTACAGGTGCCTAAGCAAGTTCTTGTTGCCAGCAGACCTGGGTTCAAAATCAGCTCTTCCAGACTAGCTGTGTGGCCTTGGAGAAGTCCCCTGACAAAATCACCTCAAAGGGCTGTTGAGGAGTAAGCTTGGAAGTTAGGGAACCTACACAGCGTCTAGCACATAGTAGTGACTGACTGGTAAATGTCAGTATTCTTACAGATTGTTCAGGCACAAGGCAGAGATTGGTTTCTTAGTACTTAGTACCGATAAAACAGAATTTCATCATATCCAAACTGAAAACTAAGGTGCTATTCTTTTACGTACACATACTTTCTCTCTCTCTGATTTCCTTTTAGGGGCTTCCTCAGTTTCATTCTTCAAGTCAGAGAAACTTATTTATTTTTTTGAGACAGAGTCTCACTGTGTCGCCCTCAGTAGAGTGTTATAGTGTCACAGCTCACAGCAACCCTCAACTCTTGGCCTCAGCCTCCCAAGCGGCTGGGACTACAGGTGCCCACCACAATGCCCAGCTGTTTTTTGGTTGTAGTTGTCATTGCTGTTTAGCAGGCCTGAGCCAGGTTTGAATCCACCAGCTTTGGTGTATGTGGCCGGCACCGTACTCACTGAGCTACAGGCGCCAAGCCAGAGAAACTTTTAAGTAGCAGCCTTCATTTACTGATTCAGAAATCAAGGCCCAGGAAGGGATAGTGATTTGCCTGAGGTCACACAGGCAGCAACTGGTACAGTGTGACCCCCAATCTGGCCTTCCTACTGAGCCCCAGAGGCCTCTAAAAAAAATTGGGGTTTGCTGCATTGGCCCAGTTGCTTGTGGAACACAGCAAGAACCCCAGACACACTCCCTTCCCAAGAAAACACAAGGGAACACCAAGGGCACAGCCACTCCCTCCCTCCAAGCTTAGCTCACTCAAGGGAGGCAGGAATGCTCTGGGCTGTGGAACTGAGGGGAGGGGGCAGACCCCATTCAAGCAGACTGATGTCACCAAATGTGATAATAATGTAGTTATTATGTAGTGCCCTGCCCCAGATGGACTTCAAGATTGCAGGCCTGAAGGTTTCTCCAGAAGCCACTCTGGGCTCAACCTGCAGCCTCACTCACACCACCCCTCAGAGGCTTTTTACTTCAGTCCCATGGGACAAGGAGGGAGGGAAAATGTGCCTACCCCCTAAATCAAGAAAGAGCCTATTGAACGGGAACAAGTCGCGTCCTCCTCCCCCACACCCAGTGACTCAGTGGCAAGTTTCTGGAGAAGAAACTGAGAGTGGGGAGTGGCTGTCAAACCCCCAAGCCAAGGCTCTCGGAAAATGTAGTGGAAAAAGAGTGTCAGGAAATCCCCTCTGTTAGCTCGGAAAAGAACACAGCAATACCTTCAGGCTTCAGGTGTGGGGGCACAAGACAGCTGCAGGGTCTCTCTCCTCAGCCTGTTAGACCCTTGGGTCCTCCCCTTTGCCCCCGAACACATGTGGGACTGGCTTTTTACGGATCTAACTTTGGGGATGCATCATTCTTGTTGTGTTCCTCTCCCCTTGCTGCATCAGGTACCTGAGCCCCGCAACCTTGGAGATTTGTATGGCTTGTTACCACATCATATATCAGTGTCACCTGTCGTCCACCGCACCTCAAGTCCAGCACCTCTGGCCCCCCTCCAGCGCTCACGACACCGTCTCCCAGATCTTCCCTTCACTCCAGGCCAGCCTGGCCTGCTCCCCATTGGCCCTGGGCGGGAGCGATCAGGACAAGAGAGGGGGGAGGGCAGGGTGGCCCAAGCTCACCATGGCGAAGCCGGAGAGCAGAGCCGAGGTCCGGCTGGAAGCTTTGAGCTTGGCGCGGCTCAAGTAGAGCTTGCGCCAGGACAGCGCCTGCATGGAGTGCTCGTTGAGGCTCATCACCTCAGAATAACTCTGGCCGATCCACTCCGGGTAGGTTACTGCGGGCGGCGGCGCGGGGGTCCCTGAGGGCTCCCCGTCCCCGCTGCGGCGGCGGCTCCGGCGGCTGCCGCTGTTGGTGCTGCTGCCGCTGAGGGGAAGCTCCGGGCTGCTGCTGCTCGGGGGCGGGGCGGGCTCCGGATGCATGGAGCACGCTGCAAAGGCGCGGGCCGGCCCGGACGCCAACGAAGGCAACCCGCCGCACCTCTGCCTCCGCCTGCCCCCCACGCGGGCCCGACCTCACCCGGCCTGCTGCACACTAAGAAGGTCAGGAAGCGCTCGCAGCCCCAGCTCACAGGCCCGCAGCGCCAATAGAAAAAGTGCCTGGAGGCCGGGACGCGAGCCTACGCGGGCCAGAGTCCCGGATACCCGGGGTCCGGACCCCCGACGCGTACAGCGATTGGCTGCCACCCGGACTAATTTGCATACGCCCCGCCTACCTAGAGCCCCGCCCACCAAGAGGTAGGCGGTATCGGTGCAGGTCATGTGATCAATCTCCTCCGACGGTGCCGCCCACGGTCGCCCGCGCGTCGGCGTCTTCCTGGAAGCGTTCGGCTACCCCAGGCCTGAGGTGCTGCTGCTCTCGGTCCCTCCCATCTCCGCAGCTGCTCTGCTGGCCCGGCTCCCGGAGCCAGACTCCTGGGTCAAGCCGCCTGGGGTCACCTCTGAGCGCCTCCTGAGGCCCATTTCCCCTTTGGAGCAAGGTGGTGCAAGGTCTGTAGGAGAAGGAGCGGGCTTAGGTCTAGAGTTCATTGTGTAAGTGTTTATTCAGCGCCTGCTGGGTGCCAGCGTTATTCTAGGCACTGAAGTAGAGTGGTGAACAAGATGAACAAGGTGCCATGCCCTCTTGGAGCTTACACTTTAGTGAAGGGGCATACAAGCACCGATGAGTAAATTATAATAGTTTAGAAGGTGTTAAATGTATATGAAAAATAGAGTAAAGGAGGTGAGTAGTGCGGGAACTGCAACTTTTTTTTTTTTTTTTTTTTGAGACAGAGCCCCAAGCCGTCCCCCTGGGCAGAGCGCCACGGCACCACAGCTCACAGCAACCTCCAACTCCTGGGCTCAGGCGAGTCTCCTGCCTCCGCCTCCCAAGCAGCTGGGACCACAGACGCCCGCCACAACGCCCGGCCATTTTTTGGTTGCAGCCATCGTTGTTCGGCGGGTCCAGGCTGGGGATTCGAACCCGCCACCCTAGGTGTACGTGGCTGGCGCCCTAGCCGGTTGAGCCATAGGCGCCGAGCCGGGAACTGCAACTTTAATTTTAAAAAACTTGGGGATTTTTGGTGTGTTTTGTTCACTTGTTGGCCTACATTCAATGAGATCGGCCACGGCTCAAGGCTGGTTTAACACACACACATATATAATTTTTTTAGGAAAATTTTAGAGTTTTGTGCTGCTGCCTAGGCTGGAGTGCAGTGGCACAATCAGCTCACGGCAGCCTTTGCATCCTTGAATTCTTGGGCTCAGGGGATCCTCCTGCCTCAGCCCCCCCCCCACCATGCTTGGCTAATTATTTTTTGTAGAGTCTGGTTTTCACTTTATTGTCCAGGCTAGTGTGCAACTCCTGGCCTCAAGCGATCCTCTCCCACTGGCCCCCAAAGTGCTTGGATTACTGTGCTTAGATTGCAGACAGGAGCCATGAGGCTGTCTTTTTTCTGAAGTAATGAATCTTCAAACCCATTCAGCAGGTGTCTTCTGAGCACTATTAAGTACTAGCTTGAGAGACTGCAGGAAAATGATAACCTTCATGGAATGTTATATTTTAGTGTAGGGGTGGAGGGACAGGGAGAGCGACAATAAGCAAGTAAGTCCACACCTTTTTTTCTGACTACGTCATATTTGAGCTGAGACCTGAGCCAGCAATGCAAAGAGCTGGAGACAGGCTTTCTAGGGGGAAGGGAACTGCAAAGACCCTGATGCAGGGATATCTGGCTGTTGGAGCAGTAGAAGGCCAATTTTGCTTCAGACTAGTTGGGCCAGAGGTAAAGTAGGGGTGGAGCGCTGGGCTAGGAACTGCCCCTCTAGGATGTCAACATCAGGGCAGGGACCTTGACCTCAGTTTCACAGCTATATCCCCAGCATCCAGGATATTCTTTGGCAGATACTCGGTGCTCAGTACATATTTGTTGAGTGAAGAAATGTGGGAGAGACAGGAGTGAGTGACAGAATTAGCTCATAGTCAAGTCACAAATATGTGGCATTACAGGTTAGAAAGATGACACTTAACTCTTGTTACCACTAGAGGGTGCCTGGCCACCCAATCATGTTATGGAATAAGTGAAGGCCCCCTTCTTCCAAAAGTCTGAAGACTTTCTCTGTGATTTTATGAAGATAGGGAACTTGGAATTGGAAATCTCACCTCACTGGGCTTGTTTCTCTTGCTGGCCTTTATACTTGTTACCCCTTCCACTTACCATCTGTGTCTCTGTCTCAGCTCAAGTATCACCTGGAAAGAAAGACCTTCCCTCCCTGTGCAGAGTGCCCCTCTTGTCAAGATCTATCACCCCACCCTGATTTCTACCCTTTATAGCTTTGATTAATGCAGTCGCCTAAATAGTTTAGCTTATTTGTGTGTTGATCTGTTTGTTTAAATTACTTCTCTCTCACTCCAGGGCCTCCAACAGTCTGTAACACCCAAGACTGAATTGGAAACAAGTTAAATGAAAAAAATAATGCAAGGTCCTTAGTTCCAAGGAACTCCCAGCTCAGGGGATGAGTACATACAACATTTGGGGGGGGGGGGCTGAGGTCTCCAGAGGGAAGAGGCCACAAACTAGGAGAAGAGATTAGCTAATTTAAGAGGATCAAAAGGGTCTTTGAGTAATGATTCAGAAAGTGGTTTTGGGGTGGCTGTGGTTTCCTTTCTCTAGCTCCTGCATCATGCTCCTACCCCTTTCCTTAGAATTTTCTGGGGTTTGAATTACCCCATCTGCACAAATCACAAATAATAAAGACTTATTTTAAAGCTAGAGTAAACCAGCTCAGTGCCTGTGGCTTAAGTGGCTAAGGCACCAGCCACATACACCTAAGATGGCAGGTTCGAATCCAGCCCAGGCCCACCAAACAACAATGACAGCTGCAACCAAAAAATAGCCAGGCGTTGTGGTGG